GATGAACCTCTGGGACCAATACAATTGCTCTCAAATACTTCCCTTACTCTTTGTCCTCTCTGTGTGTACAGAGCTGCTTTCCAGCTTCTGTCATTCTTATTGTAGTCATTTGGTAAATTTTGTATTTCATTATGCAGTGACCTGTGTAAAGGCAATAACAATAATAGCTAATATCAGTGCTTTACTAACTGCCAGGTCCTATTCCTAGAGCTCAAAAAGTATGACTCATTTATTGCCTACATCAATGATCAGAGTTATTATTATTATTCCCATTTTAAAGATCAAGAAATTGAGACACAAGAGTTAAGCAACTTGCCCGAGATCACACTATCAGTAAGTGGCAGAGCCCATACTCAAATCTAGGCAATGTGACTCTAACCACTATATCCAATTAGCATTCTGCTTGTAGCATCTCAAGTCTTCCTGTAGGATGTTATGTTTAGAGTATGCATTAAATAAATCTCTGAGGAACAAATGATTAATTTCAAAAGATTTATTTAGCACACACACAAAACTCTCATGCATATATTATTTTCTTCATTGAAGTTATGACTCTCATTTGTGAGTGTCCAAAGTAATTTTAATTGCTGGATAGAGGTAAACATTGCTTTCTATACTGATCTAGCATTGCAATGGCTGAGCAAAGAGGTCATTATTTCACTTAAAAGAAAAAAGGAAAACATCAATATCTTTTTTACCTGTTTGAAAAAAAGTAAAAAGCAACATACAAAAATGTCATATTTTGCTAAATAACATGTATCACAAGGCCAGGCTTCAGATAGAAGATGATGACTGCTCCTCTGCTTGTCCTCCCCAACCACAGTCAGGTTCTTGCCTTACCCCATGCATGTCAGAGGACCCAGTTACTCTCTGTGGGCAGGTGAACACATTTTCCTTTTCTACTCCTGAATCTACCCCCTCTAAGATTACTCAAGACTGATGCTCTTGTCACCAGCTCAAACTAAATGTGATAAAGACACAAGCTATACATCTCATCTCTGTGATTCTCTTTCAGGTCCCACTTCTTCGTAACATGTCAACATCAAGATCTTTCCAACGCTGCAAACCAGAAACCTAAGTCATCTCTGACTCATCTCTGCCCTTTCCTCAGCCTACTCGATCCTGTGCTAATCCTCCCATAGGTGTCATCAAATCATTTCAAAATCCATTTTTTCTTTGCCATCCATCTTGTACACCTTTCCATTTCTCCCTGCATAACTATATCCATGCACACCTTCCCTGCTTTCACAGTGTCAGCCATGAGATATTAGTGTCTCTTCTAATCTCAAAAAAAATGCCATCTCACTTTTCTCAGGCCATGCTTGCCTTCACACAGTGATCAAACCCTGCATCCTTGCCCTCTTCCAGACTGTCCCATTCCCCGCCTGTGACTTCACACCAGCAACATCTGCTCACCTTTAGCTCACAAACTGTTGTTTTCATTCCCACCTGTGAACATGGCTCCATAAATTTAGAGAATCTATACTAAGCCAGCCTACCCAGCCATCCCTGCCACTGCAAACCCTAGATTCCCAACAGATTAATCAGAATGAAGATGGTTATTATTTATGTTCCTGGCCCACCCTCTGTAGACCTGGAACAGCCATAGCTACAGTCCCTTATTCCACCCTATATAAAGTTATCTTGACTTGTGCTTGGCGTAAATGCGGCATTAGACTGCTTCTGTATTAGTATATTTTATGCTAAGGCCTGATGATATTTTACATTATTTTTAAGCATTGTTCTTGTATCATCTTAGAGGACAGAGGCCATGTGTAGCCTCTCTCAACAGCCCTACTCAAGCACCATGAAGTTTCTTCTTTAGAAAGCGCACTGAAATTAAAGAACAAAAAAAATGCATAGCTAACATCCCAATTTAATTGTAAAGAACATGACTCATAAAGATAACCTCCATGTGATGAGGCATAAGACTTGATCATTCGAATACAAGCTTTTATTTCTCAAAGCATAAAAACATTCACAAACATTTACTGGGATGCTTCTGCTTATCTCTTTTAACCTCCTTATTTTTCTTTCTTTCTTTCTTTCTTTCTTTCTTTCTTTCTTTCTTTCTTTCTTTCTTTCTTTCTTTCTTTCTTTCTTTTTTTTTTTTTTTTTGGTAGAAGAGAGAAAAATCCTGCTTAGCATCTGGTTAGCAGCCTTAATCATGGGGAGAAACGTCCGAGCTGGATATAGGTTGTCTTTCTGGTGGTTTTGGAGGCTCAGCCCACATTTCTAAGGGTGGCTCCTGCGGTTACGGAACCACACGAAGTTCTTTAGCTCTAGTGTTTCAGAGAAGTCTACACTCAAAGTCAGTCCTGAAACGGATAACGCCTATGTAATCTTAGACCAGTATTTATTAACCTTTTGGGGTACAGACTTTTTTGAGAATCTAAAAAAAGTTAAAATGGCTTTCACCAGAAAAATAACAAATGTAGATAGCCCAAATTTTTGTATACAGTCTCAGGAGTCCACAGCCCATCTGAGGTCCATGAAGGAATGATAAGATAAGAACAGCTGGCCAGACACAGTGGTTCACACCTATAATCCTAACACTTTGGGAGGCTGAGGTGGGAGGATCTCTTGAGACCGGGAGTTCAAGACCAGCTTGGGCAACATAGTGAGACCTCATCTATACAAAATTTTTTTTTTAATTAGCCAGGTGTGGTGATGTTTGCCAGTGGTCCTAGCTACTTGGGAGGTTGAGGTGGAAGGATTGCTTGAATCCAGAAGTTTGAGGCTGCAGTGAGGTAAGATTGGTCACTGCACACCAGCCTGGGCAACAGAGTGAGACCTTGTCTCTACTGCAAAAAAAGAAAAAGAACATCTACATGCCCTGTGTAACTACCCTGGGGGTCAGGCAGGGGGGTGGCAGAGGGGAGGGAAAGTTTGGGGGAGGGTAAGGAAAGGGGGAAGAAGGAAGAAGAGGGAGAAAAAAAAGAAGAAAATCCTAATAAACTAAGAGAGAGCCTCTACTTAACTGTGCGTTTTATCACTTTTTTTTTTAAGCTTAGAAGCAACTGCAGAATTGTATTTGATCTAAGTAAAATTGGTCAGGGAGATATGAGTCATGGGTTTTCCCAGGTACAATGAAATATTCACTCCGTATCCATCACTAGACACAGGACACCTAGTTTTGTTTAGGCTATTATGACAATGAAAGAGAAAAAAAATATTATATTTAATGCAAACAGCTATTTTTAAAAGCTGTATATTTATGCATTGTCTAAAGAACAACCATCCTTCTCTATCAGGGTCATTATGTGCTCTGACAGAGCACTGGGACTCCCCCTTGTCATCCTCCTGTGAAGAAGGCATGTGCTGGACTGGGAATAGGCAATAGAGTTTAAAAATGTACTGAAAGTACTAAAATAGCTGATTATCCCTCTAGGAAAAGAAAACATAGAAAATTGAATTTAAAAAGTATATATACCTTGGAGAGTTTGGAAAATAAAGTTTTTACCAATTAAAGGCCTATAGAGTACAGGCGGTCCCGGGTTACAGGTAAGATACATTCCTGAGAACGTCTTTAGGTCAGATTTGTGTGTAACTCAGATCACTGATGAACAGCGCATATATGGTAATAATAATAAGACTATAATAGCTTATATGTGGTAATAATAATATAGTGTAATACTGTAATATTAATAATAATACCCCTGTACTGGAATAATAAGTTACAGAAACTGTTGTGCTCTTTCTTTTAATTCAAACAAACAGAACATAAAAAAATCATATAAAAATTTTAGATGTGAGATAGAAATTTCAAAAAAAAATATCAAAGGTTAACACTCACCCAACGCTGCATGGACACTAGGCTAATAGGAATGCTATGCCTACTCTGATCTTCTAACCAAAGCAATAATAACCTTTCCATTTCAGTAATTAATCCGCTACACTGCTTAGTAATAATTGACGCTTTCATTGGAGGACTGCCTTTCACATGTTCCATTATTCTCACTTTAACCTTTGTAATTTGTTCTGATGGCCGAACGACTGGAGTCTAACGCTTTTCCAACAAATGATGGCGTCTGGCCTGGCTCCAAACACTTAATTATTCCTCCTTTCATTTCCATTGTAATCACCTCTTCGCTGCAGGCTCACCTGGACTCGCGGTGGACTTTCGCTTTGGAGGCGTGGTCAACAGGGTAAACACAGACTCACAAAATCAACTAAAAAAGTTAAGATGAAAGTGATGCTGTGCCTAAGCAACCACATCAACAATGACACTAGCGTGAAGATGATGGGACAACGAACCACTTAGGCCGCGAGTCTGTTTACACATGCGGAAGAAACTAGTTCCCAAATTATTAATTTGATTCTTTAATTACAAATTGTCCCTGTACGGAGCCTTGGGGGCCTGCTGGTAAGTACAGAAGGAACACCACAAGTCGGGTTGTCCAAAACCCTGAAACTGTCTGTAATGGTCAAAACATCTTAACGTCTCTAAGGCCAGAAAAACTAGACTCCACCAATACCACACTCATGGCACTGACGATGGGCATGAAAGGGTAAAAAGCAAGAGAGTCTAGGAATGTCCACCAAGATCCCAGAATATAGGATCAATGGAACATGCTGGAAGTGGGTTAAGTAAGAGGATGCTCAAGAAGCTTCCATACAGACCATAGAGAAGAGTGGTCATAAAACTTTTCTCTCAGAAAAAAATGGCATGACTTCTTGAAACAATGGACTCACTGAACTGGCAGGATTATCATCCAGGCAGACCAGCCTGACTTGCAAGAGGCTGCTTCGCTGCCCAAGCCACAGGGTCAAAGAAAGTAATTACTATCACTCAGTTATAGCAAGGTCCCAGGGGACAGTCTGGTGCAGAGAAGTGTGTCCTGTGCCTCGTTGCATTTCCCCACTGCCCAAGCACAAGGCCTTACACACCGTTGGTATTTGGCTAAAGTGGGTGCTGACAATAACACGACACACACACCCTCAAGGGGCTCAGAGTCAAAGGTAACAAGGCCCCAGTGTTCGCCCTGTTCTGGGTTTACCGTCATTGAAGCTGTCACTGGTGGTGACATGGGTGAACGGTGACTGGGCCCGAGGCTCCTCGCACAGGGAGTAGCTGTGCTCAGCTTGGATGAGAGGCGCCGGGGACGTGGGGGACGGCTCCACCTCCATCGACACGTTCTTCTCCGAGAGGAAAGGATCATTCAGCAGCTGACCCAAGACGTTTTGGGAAAACTCATCCAGAAGTTCTGAGAAGTGCTACAAGAAACAAAGGAGGAAGAACTCAGTTTCTCTTAACCATGATCTGACATTTACACACATATCCCAAGGCAAATACATCATCCACTGTGACGTCTCTTATGCACAACATCCAGTCTCATCATAGGAAGTCTCCTAATGTACAATAGCCAGTTATCTAGTGCTGTGTAGCAAACCACCAACGTTCAGTGGCTTAAAATTATCACAATTTATTATTTCTCCCTCTTCAGTGGGTTGGTGGGGTTGCTGAGCTGATTTGCTCACCATGTGCTCCCTGACACGGCCGCAGTGTGCGGGAAGACTGGCTGGGGCTGGGACCCCGGACACCTGGGCCTCTTTCTCAAGGGGGCTAATCAAGCTGGGCTTCCTCCCACTATGGCAGAAACACAATTCCACAAGGGAGAAAGCCAAAGCTGAATGGCCTCAGAAGTCACACAACAGTATACCCTCCGCACGCTTTTGGTCAAGGCAAGTGACAAGGCCAGCCCACATTCACGGGTGGAACTACAAACTCCACCTTTCGGTTAGAGGAACGGCAGAATCGCCTTGCCGGTGAGTGTGGATGGCAGGTGGTGTGATTCACTGGGGGTCATTACTGTGATGACCTACACATTTTGCATTGGCAATAGTTTTAAATCAGCCATTCTGCATTTCTATAGCATGAGAGTGCCAAGTTCAGAGGTATTAGAGGCAGCTTCTCTCTATTCTCCCCACTGCCTGGGCTCTTTTCCTCTCCAGGTTTTCCCTAATCTCTTCTGTTCTCCATCTCTGATACCATGACCTTTCCAGCCCACACCATGCCATGGAAATGACATAGGAATATTCCCTGGGATTCCTATTAATATATCCCTTGTGGCACTGTCCCACTAGTAGAGGAGTAGAAAGTAGAGGAGCTACAGGCCCATCTACTTTCCCTGCTTGATAGGGGTATATTCATGGTATGATGATCTGCAGAGCAGGGTTTCTCAGGCTTGGCACTATTGATATTTTGGACTGGATAATTCTTCGTGAAGGGTAGGGGTTGGGTGGGTGGGCAAGAGGACTGTTCTGTACATTGTAGGATATTTAGCAGCATCCCTGGCCTTGACCCACAAAATGCCAGTAGCACTTCCCCAGTTGTGAAACCAAAAATGTTTCCAGACACTGCCAAATGTCCCTAGGGGGAAAAATCATCCCTGATTTGGAATCACTGCTATTATTAGAAACAATAATAATAATAAAATAAAATTTAAAAGTCCACTTTGGTACCAGCTGTTAGAACCACTTCTGCTTCCTTAAATGTCCCTTGAGTCACAGACCAACAGGTGTCATTCTTATTGATTAAACTTCGGGACACTTGTGGTATAGAAAGGAAGTTAAGAAAGCAGATACAGCAATAGGAGACCTGACTGCAAATGGGGAGGCTTGGGGGTAGGCAATAAAATTCCTGGGATTCACGTGGACACCTAAGCCCCACCACTGAACTGAGGTGTCAGTGAAGAAGCTATGAAAATGAACGCAGTAGGGGAAAGTGTGAGATGCCCCTAGGGCTGGAGCTCTAAGATAAGGGTAATTGCAGGACAGGATGCTTCCTTTAACAAAGGAGAGAAGCAGACAGCAGAGAGGAGGACCTAGCAAGCTAGGTTCCTAAAGAGTCAGAACAGTGGGATTCACTGATGGCACAAGCACGGGACATGGTTACATCTCATCAGGACAGAATGCCGGGAAGCTGCCAGCCGTGGACACTGCCTAATAGGCACGCTTGACTGTGAGAACAAGAGAGGGTGGTTGGGAGCAGTTCTCTCATGACAAACACATTTAGAACTGGAAGGTCCTTAGGAGTATCTAAGGCAATAATTCCCACATGCCAATGGCCTGCATCACAATTACCAGGGGAGTTTTGTGTTAGTCATTTCGTAATGAAATATTTTAAGCATTTAGAAAAATCACATACAAGGGCTGTCGGAAAGTATCCAGCCATGTTAATATAATAAGAACGGTTGCATGGCTGGATACTTTCCAGACAGCCATATATATATATATATAAAATTAAGGATTATGTAGTCATTCCTTTAAAAAAAATCTTTTACATATTTGCTGCTGCAACCTTATTTTTTTGGCTTTTTTTTTTGCTTTCTTTTTTTTTAAAGAAATAAATCATAAAGGACTATTAAAGCTTCCATCCCTTCCATCCATTCCCTTATCCCTCTCAAAGTTAACCACTACCCAGAACCCGGTGTTTATCATTCTCATCCAGGTCTTTTTTCTTTTACTACATATGCATGTTTCCATTACATATACAACTCTTTTCAACTTTAAATAAATAGCACCATACCTCTTACATCCTTCTGCAACTTTCTTTTACAAAAAAAAAAAAAAAATTTAGATTTATTCATGTTCATACATGTAGCTCTACTGCATTGATTTAAACATCTGAATTGTATCTCACTGTATTAATTCAATTCCTCTTAAGGAACATTTAAGGACTTTTTTATTATATGCTATATTGTAATAAATATTCTTTAACATGAAGGGAACATTTGAAAACATACAAATTCTATAACCCACCCTGAGAGATTATGACTCAGTAGGTCAAAGGCACCTATGGTAATGGCACCACCACCACCTGTGATTCTAGGCACTCTCCACTTTCTCTACCACTGAAGGTCAAGTCCATTTCCACTCACCATCTCTCTCCCTCACCACTTTACAGTTAAGTCCCTAGAAGTTTACAAAGCTCCTAGAAGTTCAGATATGCCTAAGGTCAGAGGACGATTCAAGGATTTTACAGCTACCATATGCTAAATTTTAGATAGGCAATACTGGGGATAAAAAATAATAAATAAGAAAATGGAAATAGCCCATGTCTTCCCAGAGTTTACCACAGGCCAGTGCTTCTCAAACTTTTATGTGCATATGAAATTACCTGGGGATTTTATGATATAGATTCTAATTACGATTCACAGGTCTAAGTGGGGCCCAAGATTCTGCATTTCTAACCAGTTCCCAGGTAATGCTGCTGCTCCATGCACCATACCTGGCAGCAAGGAGCAGAAGAGCAGCAAGGCTCAGATTAGAACCAGATTTCCTGATTATATGATAACCTGAAGTCAGCACCTAATTCCCTAAGTAGCTCCCCAAGGACAAATTTCCTGGTTGCCTGATGGTGACATTGTGCAACTATTTGACAGAGTTCCTTTCAAGACCAAAATTAAGGTTACAAAAACAGAAATAAATAGCAGAAAACATAAAATACAAATGCAAGAGTGAAGTCCACAGTCCCTGCATCTCCAAGCCACAATTCTGTTGTGAACTACATAGTCAACTCTGACCAGCAGCACTGGCTTGATGAAGCTCTAGAATCCTATTCTGCCCTAGGCAAGGCTCTCTTTAATGGCCTGTGCTTTCCCATGGAGGTTGTCCAGGTTGGCCTACTCTGCTGACACCCCGTTTTCTTTTTCCTGAGCAGCACTAATGAATGTTTTCATGAACATCCCCTGGATAAGCAATAATAAACTCTCTAGCTCTGTTAACCTTCCATGAACTCCCCTCTACTTTGGATTGTGTAGTAATTATCATGTTACCAAACAATTTAGCCCTAATGATAGGCAGTTTTGAAGAATTCCCAGTTGTTATCAAGTACATTATCACAACCTTCTTTCTGGAAAAGGATCCTCTTCAGAAGCCTAACACCCGCCCCCCCCCACACACACACACACACACTCCTAGGAACTTAGCAAAGTGGAGAGCAGAAGGTCCAGGGAGACACTTTTGACGGAAAAGATACTATGACAACCAGATGCTATGACTCGGCCCAACAAATTAGTTCCATTTGGGTCTCCTTGGCAGCTGTGGGCTCCGGGGCACAGCAGACAGGTCAGCGTCCCACTGCTGGTGCAGGGATCAGGCCAGAATGAGACCACCATTCATGCCAGCCAGTTGCAAAGGGGAATACGGTTCTGGAGGCCAAAAACCAAGAAAGGAGCAAAGTGAGCCTCTAAGAGGGAGCCTTTCTGGATCCTGCAGACAGTTTAGCAAAGTACTACTCATGTGAACCCAAGGGTTAGGGAATTTTAGCTTAATTCTTTCAAAGACAATGGCATAATAACATTTTATGATACCATTCTGCCTAACATTTTAATCAAGCTTTATAAGCTTACAAAGTACTTTTCATAGCCTTTTCCTCACTTAATGCTCATGACAATCCTGTGAAGTTGGCTTTAAATGCATTGCCCAAGATCTCTGCCACCTTCTGAGAGACCTTGAACTAGGGTCCTCTTATTTCAAATTGACTGAACTTTTCCCACATTTCCTAGAAAAGAGATATTTGAGCCTCACAGTCCAACTGCACAGAGAGGTTCTAACAAGTATAAAATCGTGACGATGGTCATCATTGATGATGATGTTGATAGGATTAGGTGCTAGGATGATCTGATGCACTAAGTGCTTGACATATTTGATTTTCAGAAAATGAGCTGGCTGCTTTCCTATAAGATAGACATATCTCCATTTATAGATGAGAAAACTGGAGCTCGGGATAGTTAGGTATTTTTCCCAGAGTTGCACAGCTGATAAAAGGTGACATTGAGATTCTATCCCGAGTCCAGCTGGACCCAAATCCCATGAACTTTCTACTACAGTGCGCTGCCTCATTTCAGTCAGCCTCTAAACCTAGACAAAAACAGACTGACAGACCATCATCCGCTTTGAACACAGTCTTCTGCATTGAAACTAGAAACACGCCAGGAATTTGTTAGATGGAAACACTTTCAGTATCACTTTCTGTGGCACATCAGCAATAAGGATGGAGATATTCATTTGCCTTTAATGTATGTTTCTGCCAAAGGTTCAAAGTAGCATGCCAGAATCTCCGTGTTGGAAGAAACTTCCTGACAGGGTTAAAGCCCTTCCTAACGACAGGATATTCTTCATCCAACTCAGTGAAGACACTTGGCAACTTCCCTTAAGAGTTTGTGTCATGTTCTTCTCTCCCCATTCTCTAAAGACCCAGCATTTAATAT